CACCCCACACAGAAACACGGGGCAGGGAGCAATTTACACCCTATCCAAGTGCCATTCAGATCCTCTTCCCCTGCTTCTCTACTTTCTGCTCTGTGCTCTATGTTCCCTGCCTGATTTATTGCTCTGTTTTCTTCTCCCTGCCTGATCTGTTTCTCAGCTTTGTGCTCCCTGCCCTGTGTTGCTGTGTTCCCTGGTCCCTCCATAATCTGCCATGTGCCACACACACAGGCTGTCCATGCCACTGGTGGAGCACATACTACATACAGGTTGGCCACCCCTGTTGTAGGGCATGAAAAAGAATTTGCAAAAGAATATACAGTGCCTCAGAGGAGAAGAGCTGAGAAATGTTCAGTCTGCTGATGCATGTTGAGAAGAGCCACCCCTTTTATAACAGGTATTTTTTTAAAGCTTGTTGACAAGACCTGGTTTTCCCTAACCCTTTCCCTGCAGTCTCTCTCTCTTTCTCTCTGCCCCTCCCCCTAGCTACCTCTGTCCATTCAATCTAATCTAATCTAATCTAATCTAATCTAATCTAATCTGTCTCCTTCTCCTCCCACCTTCAGTTCTAAAGTGTCTGTTGCCATACCAGATCCCTCCTATCAGTCTGAGGATGGATCAGTTCTTCTCCCTCGTCACGATCATGTTTTGCAGGGTTGTACCAGGGGAAATGTTCTGTAGGGTATTGAGAAGATGCTAGGACCCTTTGTGTGTTTACTTATGTTGAGGAAGGCCTTTGCAAAGCTCTCAGCGTTATGCTAAGCTTAGAAAAAGGCAAGACACATACTCACCCTGACTTTCAGAGGGAAGCCATTGCACAGGTGAACGCTGGAGAGTATACTTTATCCCTGGCATCTGCAAGTTTTGCCTTGGGTTCAGTGAAAAAATTGCCAAGAATGGGGTTGTTCAGTAGGAACAATTGTGAAGGCTGGTATTTCCTATAGTTAAGATGCATCCCAATGAGGGCTTTGCATGGCTTGGGACCCAGAATTGGATGAGAACCTAGAGAAGCCGTGGATTCTCCAGGCTCGGAAACCTCCAAGAGCAGGTTAGACGGATACATCTAGGATGGGTTAGTCAGGGATGATTCTGCTTTGAGCAGGGGGCTGGACTTGATGACCTTCTGAGGTCCTTTCCAGCCCTACTTTCCTGTGATCTTATAACAGAGTAGCTAGGGGTGGCTGATTGGGCACCTTCCCCTCCTGTGGGACTTTTCACTGGGTGGGAGGATTAAATTCTGAAGATAAATGAATTTTATTTACAGCTTTAGATGACTTCTTTAAACAAGACCAGAAATGAGACCCACCTTGAAATAGTGTTTCACATCAGTAGGGACTGTTTACCTGAATCTTAATATGGTTGACCCGTTTTGTCTTTCAGGTCAGCTAGACTGCCATCAAGAACAGGGGGTGATAGAGAAGGATATTTTTTATTTGTAGGAATCCGTATCTTTTGCACCCTCTGTTAGGGAGTAACAACACTGCTATCATGTGTGCTGCCAATAGGCTGATGCCTGTATATGGCTGCAAGTCATAATGCCACATAATTTCAAGGCCCATCAGTAAGACAGTGATATAGGAAACAATGCATAAGAGGGAAAGATTAAAAGAAATTGGATAATGTTGTAAAGAATATTTGCAGCTTTCACAAACTGGCTTGGTGTATAGATCTAGATCAGGGGTAGGCAACCCCTGGCACGGGTGCCAGAGTGTGGCACTCGAAGGCATTTTGCTTGGTACACGTGCCTCTGGGTGGATGGTGGGGAAGGGGCCAGGGCTACATGGCAACAACAAGGATTGGGCCCCTCATAGCTCCCCCTGTCATCCACCCCTGGCACACCAACATCTTATAAGCTGAAGTTGTGGGTGTTTTCAGCACCCAAAAATGTTGCTGGCCCCTAATCTAGATACTATTACTGCTACTTTCAGAGCTGAGGAGAACCCAGGGAAGATCTCTGGTTGTTCTCAAGCATTACCAAAAAAAAAAAGTGTCTTTGAACTGACATGCTTTGAACGAAGGGTTTCAAAGGATTGCATTAGAACACAGTGGTTGCCTGTTGAATAACAGATTGTCCCTTCTTTGGATAGATCAAGGGATATTTTTTACATTTGCCTTGGCCTAACTTGTTTCCAACCAGTTGCTTTTCACCATGTCCCTCTTATTCATCCAATAAGTGGTAGACCTCTTATCTGTCATGGTTATCATTACAACTAAAGACATTCAACATTTGGAATGTAAAACCCCCACATATTTCTACCCTTTATTTGAACAAATGGCATCTTTAGTTTATGACTCTGTGAAACTTGATTTGTTTGGATGCCTGTAGCAAAAACAGTACTTTAAAAGATAACTGAAGGACGTGACCATTGTAGGCTGATGGAGCATAGTGGGAAAGAAGTGAATCCCTCCAGAACACACATAGACATCATGCTGGATTTCGGACTGCAGTAGGAGAGTTTTAAAATTCTGTGATGAAGCAAGATACAGGGATCTCCAAGCTTGAACAGAAGTAGAGTGCCTATCTCTTAGAAACTAAACACATGTCTATTCGGAGGGGGACAGCCTGAAAGGGAAGTAGGTGGTATGTTCTAACTATTGTGGGTGAACAACCCGAGAACTAATCCAACTTTAAACCTGGATGAAGGAGTATTGAAGTTGGAGGGGGTTTTGCTACGTTTAAATTCTTGGGTTGTTCACCTATAATAATCAGAACATGTCAGTCAGCTGCTGATGTTTTAAAATGTTCTCCATTTGAAAGGGCTCCAGATGTGTGGGTCCACATCCTTAGAACATGGGTACTGGGGCACTGGAAAGAATTGTGTTAGGTCTTAGTTACTTCAGACCCTTGGAATGAATGAAACACTTTCTTTTGGGAAGTGGGGGAAGGGAGTCCCATGAATTGATAACCATTAACCATATTCCTTTCCTTAGGGTAATAGTCAACCATGTATAGAGGCTCAGCCCAAAGCATCAGTGAAGCTCTACACTGAAGCATCAGTGATGTTTAGGTCTTGTGCTCATGTTTGTCTTTCCCTGCAACAGAGTGCTGGGCACTGCATAGTGCACAACTGAAACTTGCAGTAACTATCTTGAGAACTACCATATATAGAACTATCTAGGGGTCAGACAAAGACATGGTGGGAAAGCACTAGTAGACTTGCTGCATCAGTGATGGATCTTGGGGAAGATAGGACTGAGTGTGCTCTGCCCACCACAGTATGACACTGTACTCCAGAGCTGAAAGTTTGCCCATGAAGTTGCTTTGGATTCATGCCCAATGCCTGCTCGTGGGTTGACTGGAGACCAAGGGCTCAAGAGTGAGCACTGGGGACAAGTCTGGAGCAGCCTCATAGGCAGATTCTGGCTTTGGTTTCGCTGTCAGTAGACTTGTGTGGTTGGGACAAATTCCCCTACATCCTCCCTAGGACCCACTGCTGATGTGGTACAGACAGGCCCTCAGAATGCTTTCACTTGTATCCTTTTTATTCCTTGTCTTTTATACTAGGTGGAATTTGAATGAACCTGAAGTGTGTTAATATTTGACACCTTCACAGAAGAAGTGGGTATTGGTGTTCAGTGGAGAACTTGACTGTCTCAGGCACCAGGAAGGGATGTCCCTCTATGCATGGAAGCTGGAAGAATTGGACAAAACTTTCCCAATTTAAGCAGGATTCCCAAATCTCTTGGAATGGAATGTTTTCAGCCTATGGAAATGGTTTCTACTTCTAGACGGGACCATTCCTGCAGAGTGCCTTGTGCAGTGCAAGTGTGATGGAATTATTCTTGGAGAAGGGCAAGATGGCTTCAGTGGGATTTAAGCAGATCCTTAAGGTCAGTCATGAACTTAAGTGCTTTACTGGTGTAGGGGCTATGTAGGGAAAGACCCAGGCTGAGGATGGGTGTTGAGAGGCAGAGCTGGAGCAGAAGGCTGGGAAGAGTGTTTTCATAGCAACTTGCTTGATCATTTGGAGAAGCGACCCATGCAGGACAGTAAGGTGTAGATTCAATGGCATTAGCGCGCAAGATAAACCATGAGTGATCACAGGTGTTTTAGGTGATGTGAGAGGGAAGAAGCAACAGCAGTTAGAGGGAGGTGATGAGGGCAGTGTTCTTGGGTATTGCTGGCCCCAACACTTCAATTTGGAAGCAGCTGCACTAGAGTGATAGAAGAGTGCATTTGGATATATGCTATGGTCACCTTGCTGCTGGACTCACTCTGTTTCCATCTGTAGAATCCAAGGTGTTTAACAAAAACCCATATGAAGACACAAGATGTGACAACCACTCTTCTGCCTGGGAGCCCAAAGTCTGCCCTGCCCCCAAAATATGTGGCACTGACTAGGAAAGAAAAGTAGCTAGAACAGGTGGGGATGGGCTCAAGGGTGCATCTGCAGCCCATAGTTTCTTCTGGTAGATGGTAGATCACTTGGCAATCCCTGCTCCTGGAGGAAAGCTGCCATCTACCTGAAAGGTCACCATCACCGACTCCACTGCCTTCATTATAGCAATGTTACCATATGCTCTGTGGTTCACATACCAGTGTCCCATTGCTTTGGCCAGGGGCACGGGATGGATAAAGGCTTCCGTAATAGGAATAGCTTCACTGAATTGCTGAAAGGTGAGAGTGATGGGTAAGAAAGGAAATAGTTAATGGAAAATCATCTAGATTTAGCTTCAGATCCATTGGGGCTTTCTGAGATTAGCCTTTACGAGGCAGGGGGTGGCTGCAACAAAGCAAACAGCCCCTCCCACTGTGTTTCAGCCCCAGATGGAATTTGCATTTCACAAAGTGGGAATTTTCCATGTTAAGCCCCTTGGTGGAACCAGCAACACCTTGCCCTGCTCCCACACAGGCCTGCTATACAACTCCATGCCAAAGTGAAATTCTTCCGGTAAATGGGCTGATCAGGGGAGGGAGGGCTGGGATTTGGGAGCTATTGGGAAACAAAGAATGACAAACAGTCTTAGGTCATTGCTTCTGCAAACACAGCCGGACCTGTTCCTTTATAAAAGACCAAGAGAGTAGCTTGAGAGCTGTCACAGACTCAGAGGGGCAGTTTGTGAGCAAGGCCCCAGCACTCCCCAATTGCCAACCCCAAGAGGGAAGGATGAAGCTCGCCCTCTGTGCTGCGCTGTCCTTTGGGGTACTGGGTAAGTGGTTGCAATGTTGGGATGGGGCTGTTAACTAGGATTCAGGAGCCCCACGCAATACCTAGGACCAGCCAGGCCGTTCTGTAGCAGAATCAGTGGAGCTACGAGGCAGAGTACATTCAAGCAGTAGTCATTTAGAGACTGTGCAGTACACAAAGCAAAGGAAAAACCAGGCACTGAAGCAGTGGAAAAAGGACCGCCTTTGGGAGTCTGCTCTTTCCAAGCTGTTCCCTGCAGTATCAGTAGAGAAGAAACAACTGTGCCACTAGCTTTGGTCACAACAATGTGCTCTCTCCACTGCAGGAAGAGGATAAAGAGGTCCCTGTAGTGGGCTGTCACTGCAGCCGGAGATGTGTTGGGGCTCTCAGAAGCAACAGGGCAGCTTTCCTGTAAAGCAGGGGTTTTCAAACTTTTAAAACAAGTGTACCCTTTCTGTCTCAAAGTTTCAGCTCATGTATTTTTTTTTATTTTTTGTGGGGGGGGGGGGGGGGAGCCTGAGCATGTGCACTTGTGCTTCCCTCCCCCCCCACCTTAGCAGGTAAGTCTATGCAGGAGGAGAAAGGCCTGGCAGGGGGGGCAGATTGAGGTCCCCGTGGTGAGGGAGGGAGGCACAGACAGGAATAGGGGCTGGGGTAAATGTGGCCCCAGCTGGGCTGGGTGTGGGGCTCCCATTGCTGCACACACCCTGGCAGAGGCCCGGGGTGCATGTGCCCCCCTAATTTGTGCATGGGGCGGAGGCGGCTGCTGCTGTGCTCTGGGCTTTGCGTGCTGCTGCATCTGCCCTGGTAATGGTGCAACGCCATGTGTGTCCTGCCACTTGTGCAGCCCAGTGACGGCAGGCACATGGCATTGCACCACTCCCGGGGCAGCTGTAGGAGCTCTGTGCTCTCTTTTTTGAAAATAACAGTAGGACAGAATCCTCTTGTGACCTTCTTGGGAACAACACTGTAAATAGCCACACCATTCATATTTGTGATGATTCAAGTCATTTTGGCTCAGATCCACAAATAGCATTTAGGTGCCTAACTTCCCGTCATTTCACTGGTACCTAATCTGCACTGGGTACCTAAATACCTTTGCAGACATGAGCCTCAGTTTCGCTGTCCCTCAGATTTGCACCTGTAAAAAAGAGGCAATAGTACTAATATATTAAAGGAGAATTTGTATCAAAGGCTATAAACAGCTTTGATACTGCAGTGATGGGGACCCTGTAAGTATCTTATACTATGGACAGGCCTAACTTTTGACTGCTTTAAAAGAACAGGAGAGCTGTTGCTTGCCTGAGTGCATCAGCTTTTACAATGTACCTGTTAGGGCTGCATACTTCCCTACCAAAGAATGAGCGAAATCACTGTAACTTCAACTGTGAACGAGATGGGGCTAAGTTGTAAAAGTTTTGATGCACGTGTATTCTGATAGGAGCATGCAGACCTCACAGGTCCACTGCAACAGCTTGTACTGGTATCCTTTGATACTGATACAGCTGTCACGTCTGTCTGTCTTGAGGCTGCCAACTGTTTCTTAGCAGACAGAGCACACAAAGTCTTGACTTTACAGCAGTGCTTCTTGAACTGTGTATCTTCACCTTGGGGTATGCAGCAAATTCCCAGAGAGCACCTGAGAGGAAGGAAGGGGAAAAGGGAACTGTAAAAGGATGAAAACGATAGAAAAGAAAAAAACAAACTATTCTACAATATTTTTTAGGTTGTGGGAGAGGTTACGGAGTAGCTGTAGTGACCTCACATGTTGGTTTAACATAGAGTCATAAGGGTGCATGGGTATGACAAACTTCAAAGGGTATGTGGTTGTGGTAGGTGGCCAGAATCATGAGAAATGGAGGTCAGTCTCAATTTGTAATACAAAGCGTGTTGCAGTGTCTAGGCAGAAGCAAGCTCTGCACAAACTGATAACCTGTGTGTCTGCGTAATCTTATCTCTGTTACCCTTTGGACTCTCCTCTCTCCTTTTGCCCTGCTACTTCATGCCTTAAATTACAGGTAGGGATTACGATTACATTTTTCTTCTTCCAGGCAATTTCACCTTATAGACCAACTAATTCAGGCATCAGGTGTGTAGCTAGAGGGCATCAGATGCGTCTGACGAAGTGAGCTGTATTGCATCATACCAACACCACTATTCAGCATCTTGCTATCCTAAACAATGACAATAGCGAATAATAAATGCAAATATATTTTATATAAATATTAAATATCAAATAAATATTGATTTACATTAATAGATATGTATGTCAATTTATATTTGTTATGTGCTATCAATGGTGTCACACATATAATATATTTGTATTTATATTCTGAAAGTTTTGGTCCAAGGTGTGTGGGTGTATAATATATATCAGCACATTATATATGGTATGTGGTGTTACGAATTAGCACTTCAGATAATGTGACCTCTTCACCTTTGACAAACATTTTCCAAATCTACAATACCCAGTGTCCAGCACATTCCATTATATTGCACTGTGCTACAATATCACAATACCACAGCATGCGCAAAGGATTTCTTCAGGTCTAACATCTCAATCTTTACCAAAAGCTTAAACTTTCAATATATGGGCATATCTTTATTATGTCTTCCTTTCAAAATGGTACAAAATTCCACATCTGCAATATATTTTACCAGATCAATTGTGTTTTAACGGTGACGTATGTGGCAAAGGTCTGGGTGAGAGGGTGGTGTGGGCTGGCTGGAGTGTAAGTGAATGGGTAGGTATCATGTGGCAGCGAGAGACAGGCCGTGTACCTGCACTGCAAATTTCTACCTTCTCCAGTGCCCAAGTTTCTGCAAACATGAACCGGATTCTGCCCACTCCAGCTGTTTGGTTTTGTTCCAGTGAGGCTGAGTTGAAAGGACACCAGGGAATGTCCCCTAGACAAGAAGACACTTTGGGTGGTATAAAGCTGGCATAGTAGCTCTGTGTTACTTCTTACCTGAGCTGGAGGAAGAAATGTGGGCAAGAGAAAAAGGGGCTAGGTAGGGAGTTTCCAAGCAGCCTAGTGTCAGGTGGCTGCAAAGACGGCTCTTTCTTAGCCAAACTATGCTCAATATGAGACGGGTCGAAAAATCTGTTCGTCTAATATTTCTTGAAGGAGTGGTGTGCTTTGGGGTGAGGGCGCGCTTGCTGAGGAATGATGGAAACACCCTTTTAACCGTATCTTTCTTTTGCTAAATGTGTTGGTTGTGAGCTGCTGAGCTTTTTCACACATGATGTGTTTGTAACTCTTATAACACGATGGATCAGACCCAGAATGTTTCCTTCATTGCTTAAATGAGGGGCTTATATGGAACTTAGCGAGTCAAAAAGTAATTCAAATGGGCCCCAAGTTATCAGCGACATACCTCAGTTAACTACTTGAGTTCATAAGGTGTCTTTATTCTGGACAGCAAAGTTTCTTAGGCATCAACACTAGGGCTGCTGCAAGTGCTTGGAAGTGATTTAGGCAGTGAAGCTAACTCTTGTAGAAGCTGTTGCAACTGGAAGTGTTGTTGTAGTCCCTTAAACTCTGCCAAAGTCACTGGGAAAGTAGGTGGAAAAAATGCATCTAGCTCTTATTACCAGCCCTGAACTCAGCTCCAGAACAGCACCCAATTGCCTAGTGATTAGACCACTCACCTAGGAAATAGGAGACCTCCATTCCAGGCCCTCCTTAGCCTGAAAAGATATGGATGTACGTCTCCTTCCCCAGAGCCCTCTGTAATCACCAGGCTGTAGAATAGGCTAAGCGAAGGCACTCTCCACATCTCGTCTCCACTGACTGCATGGGGATCCCAGGCATGTAACAGTGTCATTTTGAATTGCCCTGAAGTCAGTCAGGTCAATGTCTGCAATGAGGCCCTTGATGAGACAACTTGAATCCTGACCTTTGTCTTTCCATTTCCATGAAGATTTCCATGAATCCTGATGTGAGCATGAGCTCAGGACAGGTAAACTTGTGCACAGCAGCAGTGGTTGAGGGTAGCAGTGCTCTCCCCCCATGCATCTCCTAAGCTCTGCAGGGTCCCAGCTTCCCTCATGGTCATCTACACTGCACAGCATGGGCAGGAAGGAAGGTCATTTCTTGGGCCTTTCAGGATATCTGCAGGAGAGTAGTTCCCACCCAGCATGCCAGAGAAAGGTCATGCAGCTGAAGATCCCCAGCTGGACACCCTTAATATCTGTAAAGTAGGAGCTCCTCTTCGGCGTGTCTCATAAGGTGTGCATGCTAGTGAGGAAAGACCTTCCCTGCCAAGGACCAAGGGGCTCTGCTCTTATAGGTCCTCATTTTGCTCTCCATGCCAGGAGCACCCTCCCTGCAGTGCCAAGGAGAAATGGGAGAGCAGTTCCCCTGCAGGGAAACAAGTGCTGCTCTGGGGAGCAGTCTGACGTAGGGGAGGAGCCTGAAATATGTGTTTATCCAAGATCTGGAGCTTACCTCTGCCTGCACTTAGTCCATAAACCTGGAGTCACTCCCCTGAGGTCAGTTAGTCAAAGGTGGCAATTGGGTAACAGAAGGTAGATCGTGTTCCTGCGTCCTCATCTTCCTTGAGAGAGGAAAGACTGGCCCCTCTATAACATAGACCTCTGGGATCTCATTTCATTAGTGCGGGGTGAGGAGGTTTAGTAGGAATCTCCTGCTGATCTGAATCTGGGTCAGCTGGTATAGGAGAGAGTTGAAACACAAAATACACCTTCCTTTATCCTCTGGGCCAAATCCATCTGTGGTATAACTCAGCTATGCTCAGTGTGGTTACACAAGGTTTGAAGTTAGCCCTTGTGTTGATTAAAATAGATATGTATGAAACCGGTGCATGAATCCTGTCAGCTGGTGAAGCCCTGATGGTGGGAGCAGGTAGGCAGTGACAGCCATAGTTGGGGCATCTGTAAGGAGAAATGCTGTTTCTTTCTGTGAGGCACTTGTATCTGTCAGCCTTTGACTCCTGTTTTGCTCTCTCTACAGCTCTATGTCTTGCTGCCCCCCAAGCTCAGAAGGACATCAAGTGGTGCACAATATCTAACCCAGAACAAGAGAAATGTCTCAAAATGAGGAAGGCCATGGCCTCCGACACTACTAGCCCACCATGTAACTGTGTACAGAAAGGATCTCACTCTGAGTGCATAAAGGCCATTGCTGTAAGTAACTGGGAATGTGACTAGACCAGGGGTGGTCAGCCCCTGGCATGCCTTCTGCCAGTGGCACAGGCAGTCTCTGTGTGTGCCACGTGGGAGATAGGGGAGGGGGCAGAAAGCAGAAGGGCGCGAGGAGAATGGGGCAGGGAGCAGAAAGCAGAGCAACAGATCAGGCAGAGGAAGGGGATCAGAGTGGCATTCGGGGATGGTGTGTGGCTTATGTTGTGGCACTGCTGCCAGACTGGTTGGCCCCACTGTACTAGACCTGGACACTGCACAGCTTTCCCCACTGGGTCCCATTAACCTAAGTCTGGTCTGAAGCCTTCGCTGTCATCTTCAAATAACTGATGATCTCCCCTCCCTACTTGAAGAGCACTCCCCCATCTAGCCAAGAGGAGGAGCTCTGGTAATCCATGCGCCGTGTTTTCTGGCCCCATGGAGACATGTTCCTGCTCTCACTGAATGGCAGAGGATTTTTCTTCTTGTTCCTTATTAATTTAAGTCTTTTGTGTTTTAGGCCAAAGAAGCAGATGCTATTAGTCTTGATGGTGGCCACATTTTTGAGGCAGGCATTGAGCAAGATAAGCTGATTGTGGCTGAGGTTCATGGAGTGGGTGAAGGTATGTTTTCACAGAGCATGCCCTGAGATTGTGAAGTGATGGCAAAATGGTGGCAACATGACCATAGTGCTGGTCAGTAGGGTGTTGGTTAAGGCCATGCGACTGAGGACAAATCCTGTGCAGTTCACCATGTAGAGGGACAGGTGAGCTCTGTTACATTCTGCTGCAGTATCTGAGCTCCCTAGGACACTGATCATCAACCGGTGACGTCAATGGAGCTGTCCCCATTTACAAAAGGCACAGTAAAACCATAAGCTATGGTGCATTAGGCCGCAGGAGGGGAACTTGCTTGGTAGAGCTGCTTTTCCTGACTACCTCACACTGGGTGATCTCTCAGAACTTGGTTCATGTCAAAGGGATAGAGCTGGCTGTAAGAGGAAGGCTAAATTCTCCCCTCACCCCACTTTATCATTGAGGTAGGCAGATAGGTGTGTGTCACTGAGATGGCAAGACACAGTACTCCCTTTCTTATTACTAGTGTTGTACCACCAAACACACTGGTAACACAAAAAAATACTGTCTTTGCAAAAAACAGGAGAACAGAGGTGATGATTTCACTGCTATCACCTCTGTGGAACTGTGGTCAGCACTACAGGGCTGCAATGGCAGGGAAAGGTCCATGTGACACGGTGTATGAAAAACTTGGTGAGCCTCATTCTCTGTGGTTACCTGTCATTTACAAAACACAGTAGCAAGAGCAGGCTGAACTGGGGCAGGGGATCAACAAGCAAAATGAAGAGAAAATAAACCAACAGAAAGATAAAATTAAAGCTGCTGCTATATGAGCTGCTGGGCCTCCAGAGAGTCTGTGACCTGACCCCATTCTCTTCTGAACCAGCCCTGTTCAGCTTGTACCCACTGCCTGCATTACCCTTCCCCATCCTGCACGGCTAAGGACAGGATAATGAGATATACAGTCAATGGCACAACCTGGAGGGGTGATCAGGGGACCAGGCCTGTGTGCTGATTAAGAGGGGGCAGCCCCCAAGGACCTGTCACGGCTGCCCCAGCCACTGTTGGGGAAACTGATGCGGAAGCAGCAGCGGCCTGTGACACTGCTACCGCAGCCTGTGCAAAGAGATAACCATCCCTGCCACGGCACCATCGCAGATGCCAATTTAAAGTTATGCTGCTTCTCACTATAATACTTCCCTACTCCTGTCTTTATCAGCTAGTTTCAGCTCTATCCTTACTGAAGCTCCCAGTTCCCCTTTTGTACCATAATACAGGCCTGTATTTTTGTGGTCATGTTTGGATACGGTGTTCAGTGTTCAAGCTGATGGCAATATTATGGGATCGTTCTCAGTGCTGTGGCTGAGAATGAAAAGGTATCACAGTCAGGATATTTAAAGGTATGGGTTTGTTCATCTCTAGAACTCAGTTCCTTTACCTATGCATAATACATACTGGACTGTATCACTTTAATAGATCAAATTTAGAGTCCAGTCCTGCAAAGCCATATTCAGAAGAGTCATCCTTACTGAGGGGACAGCTGAAATCAAAAGGATTTTCTACCTCTGTGGGACCTACTAGCAGCAGCAGATGCATGCGTGAAATAAATGCAAAGGCAGAAACATTGTGCATATATTGGTAATAATAATTAATAGATCATTTAATATGGTACCCATTGCAGTGAGTAAAACTGGATTGAGACAGACATGGCAAACCAGTCCTGATGAAACTGTGTCTTGATAGAGTATTATGAAGTTGAAAAGGTGATGCTTTGCTCTCTGTGCCCAGAACTTTGAGAGATGTGGAAAAAAGCAGTTGTGGGGAATGAAATTCCAGTTCATTTGTGCCTTTGTTTTAATGACTTTTTACCTTCCTCCTTTTCTTCCTTCCCGTTTTGCAGAATCGACCACCAACTATTATGCTGTGGCTGTGGTGAAGAAAGGAAGTGGCTTTACAATAAATGAACTTCGAGGAAAGAAATCCTGCCACACTGGCTTGAAAAGGGCTGCTGGCTGGGTCATTCCCATTGGGACACTTGTGGACAAGGGTATCATAGATCGTGGACCTGGAAGTGACCCTATAGAGAAAGGTAAGCTGGGAAAAGAGCTGGGTGAATAGTGATAACATTTTCTTGAGGGTGGGAAGAACTGGCTTTGATTAGGAAACTAAGTGATCCATGTACACTTCATCATTTCTCTCTCTCTCTCTTAAAGAGCTGGGTGAATAGTGATAACATTTTCTTGAGGGTGGGAAGAACTGGCTTTGATTAGGAAACTAAGTGAACCATATACACTTCATCGTTTCTCTCTCTCTCTTTTCAATTCCTCCATCAACATGGACATTTCCATGACAGCAACATCTTTTTGCTGAGGAACCCGTCAGAATCTATACTAATTTACTCCAAAATATCTATCCCACGTCAGTTAAGGTTGATGCTGATGTTACATAGCAACACTGCATAGCATTCCCTCCTGAAACAAACTGGAGGAAATGGCAAGTCTGGCCATCCAATGTTCTCCTGCCTGCCCTTCCTCCCTACATCATGGGTCACACACTGCAACCCTAACTTTGTTCCATGAGGGGCACCAGGTTTCCAGTGTCCCCTTTGCCAAACTACTCCTTTTAAATGTGCCTCATTACAGACAACCTTCCCTTCGACACATGTCCTCACACTCGGGTTTTCTCCTTCAACCTCACTGAACCCCAGTCTCTACAATTATGAGGACCTGGGGGAGGGTAGTCGGCAAAGGTTGAGTTAATTAATAACTTTTGCATGTCTTCTTCCATAGATGTGGCTGGATTCTTCTCAGCCAGCTGTGTCCCTGGTGCCACCACAGAAACAGACAAGTTGTGTCGCCTGTGCATTGGTCCTGATCCATGTTCTCGTTCTGGTCCTTATTCTGGCTATTCTGGAGCCTTTCAGTGAGTGAAAGTTTATTTTTATCCTGACCCTTATTTAAAGGATCAGTATCCGTTCCCTGCACTCTCATGCATTAACTAACTTGAGGGATACCTGTGTTATAACTGGGCTGCCTAATGTGACTGAAGTTTTAATATAATGTATCCATCTTGTTGGATTTCTCTTGAGCAATGACCAAAGTAAATCTGCTCTGGGGTTGAACATACCACCTCTGTTTCCTCTGGTCCCAAGAGACACTTAGTGAGAGATCATGACTTGAGCTGTATATTGCACAGGGCAGTGCAAAGCATAAGCATTAGACTAGTGCTAATTTTAGTGCTCTAATTGTTCATCTGTTTTCTCTTACCCCTAGGTGTCTGAAAGATGGAGCTGGAGATGTAGCTTTTGTAAAACACACCACTGTTTCAGGTGGGGATGTGACATAATTCTGCTTCTCTGCTTTCACATTAGGACTCTCAGCCACTCCACCCCTGAATCCTGTCTTATTACGCCTGCTTTAATTTCTTTCCATGCTTATCCCAAGCTTACCTTCCCTTTGGGATGGTAGGGAAGTAATGTACACGTTTTTCCACGTTGCTGACTACAAAATAACGAGCATAATTAGTATAGTATTTACCTCCTATTCTGAGGGCTTTTTCTTGTTCACAGACACAGCTACTGGTATCAGATCAGTTTGTAGGGTACTTTCTTGGCGTGATCCGTAAATGCCCATATCATGATTACAGTCACAAGAACAAGCAAACTCTGGCGACTGATGCACTTAGTGTAAGTTGCCATAATTCTGCAATTTTACTAAGACACCAGAATCTTGTGTCATAATCAGCATCACAAGGCAATGGCAATCACAGCATCGTCAATGCACATAACAGTCAGGAGACTGCCTCACTAAACGTGAGAGACCCAGGTTCTGGGAAAGGTTAAATCTGCGAGGGGACTCTGCTACCATTATGACAGGGATCCATTAGTTGAATGCCACTGTGAGAGAGTCTTTTGATTAAAGCATGAAGAAGCTGTCAATCTTCTCTGCCTCATTTAAGGACAAATATATTAAGGGAACTTCTTGAAATAGGGATTTCAAAGGCCCCTGTGCACTGTTGTGTTGCTATAACCAACAGACTTGCGTTCCTTCCAGAAAATGAGCCAAGTGCAAAAGATGAATATGAGCTGCTGTGTCTGGATGGCACCCGGAAGCCTGTGGATGAATACAAGAAGTGCTTCTGGTCCAAAGTCCCTGCTCATGCAGTAGTGGCTCGAAGTGTGGATGGCAAGGCTGATGAGATCAGGAACTTCCTCAACAAAGCCCAGGTACCGTTCCCTTCTCTTGTATCATTTTCCATCATTTCCAATTGCTCTCTTAACAGTCTCTCTCTTGCTCTCTGCTTTCTTCCCTCTTGCTTTCTCTCTCCAGTTTCCCCAGTCTGACTTCTTTTTTTTCTCCCCTGAGACAGGAAAAATATGGCAAGGGCAGAGATGGTGACTTCAAACTCTTCAAGTCTGAGCACGGGAAGGACCTGCTCTTTGGGGACTCTGCTTCAGGACTGACGCCTGTCCCTACTCTGATGGATTTCCAGCTCTATCTGGGCCGGAATTATTATGCTGCTATTCAGAAACTCAAGGAAGGTAAGCAGTGATTGAGTTCCAGATTCAATGTAATTCTGAACTGGATTTATGTTGTGCATTATGAATTGAATGCAGCACTGCCTCTGGCACTGCATTTGAAGGAATGGAGTTTAAATTCTCCTCATCTAGGTGTTGGACTCCCATTCACAAGCTCTCAGGCTCTATTCCCAGCAGTAATGAGCAGTAATTTGGAGTCTCACATCATCCCCTAGCACATTGTACTACACTCCACACAGTAACTGTTAGCTCTGCATGAGCTGTATTATATCAGAAACAATCCTAGGGTGGTTTTTTCTTATTAAGGCACGTTTCCTTCTCTGTCCGCTTTCCCCTTTTCCATGAGGGTAGAAACATGCTATTGTCCATGATAAAGAGCAGATCTTTATTAAAATTAGGGCTGTCAATGAATCGCAGTTAACATGTGCGATTAATGTGTTCATTTGGTTTTGTGTTAATTTTTTTAATGTGCATTAATTGCCGCTGGTGTTGAGGGGGAAAGCAGCTCTTCTTCCCTTGCTGCTTTTGGGCCATGCACACACACGTGGCCGGCCAGCAACTAGACAGGGTCCTGGGAGCAGACTCGGCAGTTGGATGCAGGTCAGTGTATGGCAGGGCAGGAGTTGGAGGCCTAGATCTTACGGAGTGTTTAGGGGGTGTGTGCGTGTGTGTGTGGGAGGGGCGGGGGGGAATTGAAGTGGAGCTAGGGCAGCAGTGGCTTCCCCGTCTCTTGAAGCTTCAGATCAAGTCTAGATGCTTCTCCGGGAAATGCTTAGTCAAACACAAGTTACTGTCCTCAGTAAAAGGACTGCTGGGTAAGATTCTATGGCTAGTGTTACACAGGAGGTCTCTGGAAATCTGTGTCTAAATCTTCTTTTGACCAACATAAGAACCAGGCCCTGGTAATTGATCTTCCTTTCTTGCTCTTCCTGTACTCCATGGCTAGGGGAGACATTAGACATAAACCAGATTAAGCAATCAGAAACTGGTTGAAACCTGTAACAAAACAGATGTTCAGTGCACATAAACCAGTTTGAAAATGGCTGAAACCAGTTTGAGATCAACCTGGTTGAATGTGGTATCAGACTTACCTGATTTGGGTCAAACTGGTTTATGCAATGTCTGTCCCAGACACTTTGCTGGTTTAAGTTTAAATCAGACTCCCCCAGCATCCCAGCCTGCTCCCTGGGCTGGGAGGGGCTCTCTGCTCCACAGCAGGGTTGGCCCCTCCCCTCTTCTCCCTGGCTGCAGCTCGGGCAGAGACTTGCAGGCACAGCTGTGTCTGCTGGCTTCCCTGTGACCCCTGTCCCCTCATCCCTCCCCTGCTTAAGCAGGGATCCCTTTCTCCTCTCTCCCACAGCACAGACTATAGCCAGGATGTGGTATGGTAGCAAATGCTGTGTAAGGCTCTGGCAGAGACTGCAGACACAGCAGGGTCTATCTGGCTTCTCCTTGCCCTACCCCTGCCCCCTGCTGCTCAGGCAGGAAGTCCCCTCTCCCTCCCTCCCATCTCTCACAGCATGGCAGCCCCATGGACCCTAGGCATGTGGTATGCTAGCTAATGCCGGGAGGTGTCTGTGTGTGTGTCTCTCCAATTCCATTGGCATAAGCAGACAGAACAGTGATTGCTTAGGGTTTTTGGAGCTAATCACAGGTCAGCTGGTAAGCTGTTTAAGAAGTTTGAAGTAATGGAGAGAGGCCATTGTTTTGCTAATCTGGCAATAAAGACTGTTATCAGCCTCGGGCTGGCTTGCTCACCTGTCAGTTTGCTGCAGACAGTATTTCCTCAGTCTAGAGAGAATGTCTTTCTGGTTTCAAATTGTTTCAGCCTCACCAGGTTAGACTAACCTGCAAAGATTGAATCAATTCAAGCTCAGGCTCTTTGCATGTCTGTCTCAAGCCCACTAGTCCAAAATTGGACCAAAAAAAAGCATCGAACCGAACAGCTGTCCAAAATTGGACCAAAAAAAAGCATCGAACTGAGCAGCCGGGGGAAATGTGTGGACAGTAATTTTCGTGACAGCAGCCCCCCGCTTCCCTGAAGTCACCCCATTTGCGACTTTCTGGTTTAACTAACCTCTTGACTTATTCTTTCTCTTACTTCTCTAGAGAGCTGCGTTCCTGAGACCAGACAGGGAAAGATAAAGTGGTGTGCAATAGGGCACCAGGAGAAGACCAAATGTGATACATGGAGTGCAAAGAGCAAAGGCAATGTGAGCTGTGAAACAGCAGATAAACTAGACGAAGTCACCCCATTTGCGACTTTCTGGTTTAACTAACCTCTTGACTTATTCTTTCTCTTACTTCTCTAGAGTACTTCATTCCTGAGACCAGAAAGGGAAAGATACAGTGGTGTGCAATAGGAAGATATGAGACGGTCAAATGTGATGCATGGAGTGCAAAGAGCGAAGGTAGTGTGAGATGTGAAAAAGCAGATGAACTAGACGACTGCATTGTCAAGATCTGGGTAAGGGTGTTTCCTCCTGGTCTCTCCACTCACCTACCAACTGAGGTTTATGGGGCCATCTGAGTACTTTATCATGTTGGAGAAGGAAGTGCTCCATGGTGATTTGTCTGTATTCGTACTCTTGCCCTATTGCTGTTGAAAGTTGTCCAATAGTAACTTAACACCTCCTTCACTGACAGCTAAGCTACTCTGGATTAGCTTCTGCCTACTGTGCTGCCTACTGTGGGATAAAAGCATATATTTGCTTTCTATCATTGAGGAGAACTGGCTGGAAAATTGGGGTTAAAAAAAAGTATTTGCAGTGGAGGAAAGCAAAGGAAAGGGTGTTGTGGAAATGTCAATTCACTAGAATAGAGATGGTCTTCTTGACAAAACATATTTTTAGAAAAAGTTTAGAAATTGCTTAGCTATTTTGCTGTGATAGTCTCTGATATTAAACTTCCAATGTTTTGGTTTGAAATGGTTTTCATGTAGAAAATTTAATCTAATTATAGCAATATTAAACAAAAATAGCGCAAGTTAGAATGAAACACTTCAAAGTCATTGATCTGATGTTTAGGTTGCGTTTGGACTCTTTCAGATTTTTGCTTAACAGTTTTTGGAGTTGTGACTTTTTGTTCTGATTCAGGATAAGAATTTTAAAAAATTCTTAGAGGCAATACTCATAATGTTTTTTTAATTACAAGTCGGGAAAACCATGACTTGTCAGGTCTATCTCTGAGTGACAAACTTGTGTGTCTACTCTGTGAAGAGCTGTACAGAAGAAGAAATGAGTTGTTGGTGTCCAAATAAGCACATGACATGCTACATTCATGGGCAGATCTAGAGTTTTGAAAAGGGGGGTGCAGATGGTGAGGTGCATCATCACATATAAAAACAACACTTTTTCTCCAGTTAAAAAGAAATGAAAAGCTTTACTAATACTGTAGAGGCCTAGGGCTGTATTATTAAGTTTAAGATGGAAACAAAAACAAATATCACTTCATTGCAATGAGTTAGAAACAATCTACAGGGCTGTGAAATAGGAGCTTCATTACCAGGAGAAGCTAGCAGACCACAGAACTGCAGAACAAAGGATAACTTGATTGGCAGAACATCAAGACCATTAAAAAGGAGCGGGCTGTTAACACCTGTGGAAAGAAGAGTTTAGAAGAGATCAGGTAGATTATAACGAGCTGTTAAGTCAATTGACTCTCCAGTACTGCCCGACTAGAAATGTTGCTGCCACTGCTAAGCAGTTGGTTTTAAACTTAGGGTGAATAGGAATCAAAGAGGGGTATGAGTGCACCAGCGCAGCCCCTTTGGATCCTCCCCTGGTTACATTTAGTGCATCGCATCCTCAGCTGGTGTAAATCAGCATAGTTTCACTGGCTTACACCAGTTTACACCTGTTGAGCATATTGCCCCATATAGAATTTGCTGAGATGCTGGATTTGCCAAACTGCCTGTGGTCCTGTTGGCATGTGGCTTTTTGGTAGTAACAACTTAAAACCTTGCCCCTGGCTAGCCTGATGATTCAGCTGGCAATGCACAGTGTTGTTATCATGGGAAATGAGGCTTTTAGATGGTCCTGAGATTCACAAGCTACAACATAGCAGAGACTATTTGCATAACCCTTTGGAGGGACAAACTCAAAGCATGTCCGCGTGGCACATTGAAGTTCATTTAGACAAGCTATGTCTAAATGAACTGGAAGCAGCATAGCCATTTTAGCATGGTGCTACATGGACTAATTAGCTCTGCTGCAAAGCAGGGTATATTTAGCTTAGCTGCTAATGTAGCTGTATTACTCATGGTACCTCAGCTGGTTTGGGTACATCGATGCCCACACAGTAAGAGCAAGAGCTGCTTACCAGTAACATCTCCCTGGGGGCATTTCCTCTCTCATGAATTCAGAATAGGCAGAATGTACTACCCTCATGCATGGGGGGCAGTTCCAAAGAGTGGCTGGGTAGTCTGTTAGTTGTTCAGGTGACAGGCTCAGTATCATGATGTTTCTGCTGTACTAAACGTAGCAAAGAGGTATCAGAGATTATCCTGAAGGCCAGACTAACCCAGATGCAATTTAAGCTTTCAATTAAATTAATGTCACTGTAGTTAATGAGGAAAAAAAATCTTGGAGACACAAAATTCTAGTGTCTTGGTCTTAACTGTCACCGTTTCTTTTGGATAACAAGCTACCCCTTTTATGGCAACTTTTTTCAAAAGCCCTGGCTGGGGGAAAGTAACTTTACCTCATATTTGAAGAGTTGTTTTCATTGCAGAAAGGTGAAGCAGATGCAATTAGTCTGGATGGAGGACATGTCTACACAGCTGGCACATGTGGCTTGGTACCAGCTTTTGGGGAATATTATGATGGTAAGTGCCATACAGACTGTCCATCAGGCTTATCCCTGATTAGGAATTTACAGTGACAGAAGGAGCCATTTCATTCTGAATTGTGGAAAGTCATTGCCCCTGCTTCTCCACTCTGGCCGCAAGAGCCTTGTTATTGGAAAGAGTAATGGGTAAAAGTGGGTTTATTTCACTTTAACAGCCTCCAAATTCTAGAGGCAGGTGGGGCCTGAAGCAGTGCATAAGCTCCTGCAGCTCCTTTCACACTGGACCACACTTGCCTCCCTCCTCCATTTAACCCACTGCTTCTTCCCAGGCATTTAAGTTTACTGTGGAAGCTGTGTGATGAGGGCTGGCACAAGCCTGTTCCATTGCCCGTCTTTCCTGGGTACACTCAGCCTATGCTATGCCTAGATTGTGTAAGGGTTCCTACTGTCCTACCAGATGTGAAGGAATCCTCAGAGGAGCCACTGACTCTTAGTGTTGTCTGTCATTTAGTAATCTTTAATTATGCAAAGAATTCATCATAAGCATTGTGTCACTGTCCTTCAACTCACTTTTTTTCTGCCAGAGGAAAGGATAGGGGCAGCTCGTTGCTGTATGAACGTGGCAGCTTTTAGATCACCTGCTCCTGAAACCTTTTAGATTGAAGGCTGTTTTGGAGAGTAACTTGTCAGCACACTCTTGAACAACCCTTGTTGTGAATAGAATCTTTGTCCAGGGAATCTGTTTTAATATTTTCTGCAATTTTGCTTTTGAGCTACTCTTGCTTTCTCTGAAATCCCCCTTTTTTTCCATTTCAGTTAATAAAGAGAAATGCCATCATCCAGCGAAAAAGCAAGGTAATTGCTGCTAACAAAGGATGAAGCTGACTGTTGGCTTAGATGAAATTGAAATAAATAATTTGGTCATGGGCCAGAAAGCCAAAGGTTTGAAAAAATGGCCTGTTTTGAATAGAAATATCACTACTGGAATCATTTGTCCAACATATTTAATGAACTGGAAGATGGACTAATTAACCAGCTCCACTCTTCTCAGCTATTTTGATTATGGAGAACTGGAATGAACTCCATGCGGTTCTAATTTAACCAGTCATTTGGAAACTCCATCTCAGATAAAATGCAGCAGGCATAGAAAAAAAGAGAAGGCAGTTTGCACTGGAAGCAATAAGTTAAATTACCCAAAAGATATAAATAAATGGAGTTAGGAAAAGACTTAGCCTTTGAAATGACTTGTTCAACTGACAGAATGGATTAAGCCACACTCTTAATTTTTTGTCTCCCTCTGAAATAACCTTGGACCCAGAGCACAATCTGCTCTAGACCAGTGATTCCTGTGGTTACAAGAATGTTTATGCAAATCACAGTCTCTGGTGTATTATGTACCACCCCCCC